GTACAGGAGGCCCTCGTCAGTACCCAGATCATAGTGGGGCCTGGAGTAGTCCACTTTCAGCCACTCATCTCTCTGGGAACTCGGTCATCTCCACCTAGATAAGCCTGGGGTTCTTCTAAGTTCCACCATCATGCTCAGGCAGCAAGGCCTGGTCACTGGACCTTACACCTTGGCTGAGTTTATAGGCTGCCTCCCTCTAGATTACAGGAACACAGGAGCCCCCAGACCCGCCTCAAAATCTTCTGATCACTTCTGACTTTGCTCAGCAGCCATGTGGCTCTCTGATCCCGTATTAATTATTTCTTGAGTCTAACATGACTTTTGAGAAATCAGAAATACTGTCCCATGGTGAGACCGAGGAGAGAACTCAGCCTGAGGGGTAAGGGGTTCTGGGTATACATGAGTCTCTGTATCAGGGGACCCCTCCTTTTTAATGCTTATCCAGAGGGGTAAACTCTGGTCACTTCACCCAGTCTGACAGTCTGTCTGTCTTTGTGTCTTCCTGGTCCAGTTAAGCCCAGAGACTTTTAGCCTAGACCCAGAGACTTCTCCGTGCCCTCCAACCTCTCCCTGGGCCAACACTATGTACCCTGGAGCTTGTTTACCAGTCCTGCCAAGAACCAGGGCATCCAGTGAGGGCTTCTAGCCAACATGGCCATTCTGTCCTCTGTCCAGACACAGGGCCCACAGGATCATCTGTAATGCTGCCTTGGTGTCTCTGACCAGTACCTGCCACTTTCCCCCATTTGAACATCTGCCCTCAAAAAAGAAAAAGAAACCCTGTTCTGGTGACCCTGAGACAAGGCCCCTGGGCCCAGGACACATCTGAATGTAGGAATGTGAAAGTGGCAGTCCTGTTTGGGGCCCTTTCTACTGTTATCTCAAGAATAGCCCACCTCCCTCAGACCCGGCATAGAAAGGGTAGGTTTCACTCTCTAAGCTAGCGGTCTGAGGGTGGCAGCCCCCATAGAGAGAAAAGCAAGAGCTGGAGAGTGCAGAAAAGGTGAGATAAGTTGGTAGAGGTCATGAGAGCCATTTACCTGTGACAGTGAGGTGGGTCCCTCCGCCGAATAAAAACCACACTGACTGAGACTCGGACCAAAACCTGTGGGGCTAGTAGATAGGGTCTGTCTCCCGGGGCCTGGGCCCTAGAGGAAACCTGTGGTGTGTGATGGTCACAGGGCTGCAGTGGGTGGAGCTTCGTCCTGGGCACAGGGCAGGTGGGTGACCAGACCCATTGAGCCAGGGGGCAAATCAGACTGGGCCCACAGGCTGAAGGGGTCCCTGTGCCTGTCCCTCTACATGACGCTGGTGTCGCCTGTACAGGAGTCGTCCTATTCATCCCTACTCTCTGATGCTGTCAGGGCTGAGGGCAACACTGCATACATTAGGTGATCAGCAAACTCCTGAAACTCCGTCCACTCAGGCAGCAGGGCAGTGTGCCGAGTTAGCCCAAAGCTGAGTTGGACTTGCCTGACCTCTCCTCATCATTTAGTTGCCTCTCAGTGTTCTTTCCCACAAGTTTCCATGGTCTAGCCAAGGCATCTTCCTTCGTGGATCCACAGACGCTGAGACATCCTGACTCTGGAAGCTCCGTGTGAAACTCTTCTGATTTCATTTCTGCTTCTTGGGATGCAGTTGAGGCCTAATTTGATCATGAAGCCTTTTGGGAAACCTCAGATTTCACTTTCCATTTATCCACCCACCTACCCATGTATCCATTTGTCAATCCATCTTCTATTCATTTCTTTGTCGTTTGTTTCCCGCCCTTGTCTCTGTGAATCCCTATGTCCATCTATCCATCCATCATTCATCTATCCATCTACCCATCCATCTATCATCCATCCATCCATTTAAACACTTTTTTGAATGCTGGAGCATGGCGGGGTCCCCTGCATCCTATCCTCATATCTCCCTAAAACCTCTCAATCCCAGGCCCTCATTCTGGTCAAAATGGAAGCTCCTCCACATTGCTCTGTCGTCTCTGCAAGGGGTGCCTCTTTCTATTTGCCTTGGAGCACACTTCTTCTCCTTAGCTTTCCTTCTCCCAGGACTGTGTATGGCTGCTGACCTCCAGATCACCACACTGGATCCTCTTCCCCGTCCTCTCTCTATTCTCTCAGCGTCTCAATGTCACTGTGTACTCTCAGCGGTGCCTAGGGTCACCAGATCCCTATATCCAAAACTGGTTTCTCAATTTGACTCTAGGTTCGCGTATATTCTGCCTTTTGAGCCTGTATCTGCTCAATTGCCTTACAGGGCCGTCAATCTCAACTAAAGTCATTCCCTGTAAACTTGCTCTCCTGCAATATTCTCATTTCAGTGAGTTCTCTCCAAGCCCAGAAGCATGAGATCATTTTTCCCCTCAGGAAAGTATTCCCCTCCTTGAATGCCCTCTGTTCTGTGGACATCCCATGACCACACAATACCCAATCACATACTCAAAATAAAAGGAAAAAACACCCAAGTTACAGTCTAAGAATTTATGGTGACAAGAATGCCAGGTTTTGGGAACCAGCAGTTAGCGTAATGGCTATGTCATTGGACTCCCACGTAGTCGACCGTGGTTTGCGTCCCAGACCTGGTGACTTTAAAACTCACGCCGGGCGCGTGTGCGTGTGTGCCCAAGATCCCAAGAGGAGAATGGAGGAGAAGGGATTGAGGCGTGACCATCCCCCTTGGGGGGTGATTTCTTGCTTTCTATCTCTCTGTCTCTCTCTGTCTGTCTGGCGAGTGCATGTGCCCTATAGCGAAAACCTCTCAAAAAAAAAAAAAAGAATGCCTCTTATGATTGTTTATTTATATAGGAATATAACCCATTTTGTTGAGGCCAGAATCCTTTTACCTTAGCTGTATGACCACTTGACTGGGATCTAATTTAACATGTGCACATATAGAAAATTTAATAAAATGGGAATATAAGTTCTACTGCTTTCTGATTTACAGGAAGTCAATGGAAATCCTTTTCTGAATCTCAGATAATTCTTTCTATCTAGCTAAGCATTTGCGCATTCATCTATCCTTCTACCCTGTTATTATTCCTTTATTCTTTTGACACTCCCTCTGTCTAACAAGTGATTTTTCTGTCCAGTCATTTACTCCACTCTTCCATCTTCTATTCATCTACCTACTCATCTGTACACCATGGGAAGATGGATTTGCCCTTCCATCTATTTGTCTGTTCATCTGATCTAGCCTTTCCTTAAGTTACCCAGTAACTTCTTCAATTGAATAATGAACACCTACCCAACCCAGAGCAACCTGCATACTCAAATGCAAAACACGTAAGAGTCAGAAACACAGCAAGTCTGCCCACTCTCCTTGTTATGAAATGCGTTCTACAGATTCTAGAGAATGAAACAAGATGAGGGGAAGGAAACTAGGTATAAATATTAGGAAAAAAGAGAGAAAATGGTCCTTTGCAAATGATGACGTCGTCTACTAAAACCTGGAACCCAGTGGAAATACAATTTGAATAAATACAAGAGTGAAAGTGGCAAAATATCAGATAGACAGAGAGAAGTCAATCTTCTCCGTTCCACAGGCAGTAGCCGTTTGAGATAGGACATTAGGGAAAAATTTATAGCCTCAATAAAATTATATATCAAAACACTAGGAGAAACAACAAAAATATACAAATTCTGCATGACCATTTCAAATATAAAACTATTTGCCTAGCAGACATAATAGAAATGCGAGTGAATGGTGACAAACCATGCTCCTGGATGAAAATGCTGAGCATTGGAAAGGTATCAGGTCTTCTCAAAGTAACTGTGTATTCCATGACATTATAAACACAACACCAAAAGAATGCTTTTGAAAATCTTGTAACTGATTCTACAGTCTCACATGAAAAATAGACATGATATTTGGAAAAACAGCTAAAATGACCAACTCGTTCCTCAACTGACATCAAAACATGCCCTGAAGCGATAATATTTAAAACAACACGAAGCAATGCAGGACAATATCAAGAAAACCACAGAGAGAAATGTGAAAAAGCCATGCTTTCATAAAAGGTGCATTATGTTCAACAAAGATGTGATGATTGACTTCCCATTTGTAAACAAATCAGGCTCTATTCATTCACCAAAAGAAACTCCAGATGAAATGAGAAGAAAAAAAATCCATTCAAACACCAAAAGCAATGGACATGCCTGAATACAATAGAAAAGTGGTTTCATGTAATGAAATAGAGATGACCTTTCTCCACAAGGCATGGGCCAGGAAACCATAAAGCAAAGGTTAAACCTATCCAATACATAACAATTGACAGTAGTTCTATGGTGAAAGACCCCAAAAATAAAAGGCATAAAAGTGAACAGGGATAAATATTTACAACACATACACCAAATAAGTGGCTAATATATCAAATAGATTTGGAGTTTCTGCAGATACATAAGCACAGGCAACCAACCAAATGAAAAAGCAGGTGCTATAATAACCAGTCGGGGGTGCAGATGAGGATTGGCTTATGAGAGTGCACAACCTAAATCCCTTGGCCTGAGCAGTTCAAAATAGGGTTTATACTAGCACAAGAATCTATTCTACCACTGATCTGACTGGAGGCGGACCTTAGGGAGTATCTTGAGTGATGGGGTGGGGACGCAGAAACAGATGAGGCTGAGGTCTGCAGGTGGCATAGTAATTACGGTACTGGATTGCCGCTTGGCCAACTTGTGGTTCTAGTTCTGAACCCCACAGTTTGAAAATCATGCTGGGCAAATGTATGTTTATGCCCCAAATTCCAGGAGGAAAAAGGAGGAGAAGGGACTGGGGTGTGGCCATCACCACTGGGTGTGGGAGGGTGATTTCTCACTTCCCCTCTCGCTGTCTCTGTTTCTTTCCGATAAACACATGACCCTATGACAAAAACCTTTAAAACAGACACACACACACCACAACGACGATGACAACAACATAAAACCAGACACGCATACAAACAGATGAAGCCTCGCTCCTCACTTACTGCTCATCTGCTGCAGTGCAGTCTGGTTTCCCCTTGACCCTGGCTATAGGGACCCCTGAAGTAACTCGCATTAAAAATGAAATCTGTCAATAAAGATATAAATACATTCTATGTTTTGTTCATCACGTAGGTAAAATACAAAAAAAAAACCTATCATTTTTAAAAATTTTAATTTATTTTACACATCTATTCTGCATACATCACTTAGCAATTTACCCAACATGCCTATCACATTATTGACCAGGAAGTAGGAGAAAGGACACTGTGGTTGACTTTAGTGAGTGTCAATGAAACAGCCTTGGGAACCCAAAGTGAGCATTCTCTGTTACACCCTGCCTTGAACATGTGTGTCTGACCTGACTCCAGACCTGAGTCCAACTCTGATGCATTCTTCATGGCCATCACTGGGTCCCATTTGGTGCCTTAGTTGGTGTGCTGTCTTATTTGTCCACATTTACCCATGGCCTCTGCCTCACCCAGGCTGACCATCGTTAGCTCTATCAGTAGACCGTCCCTAACTCTATCCCTAACCTAACTTTATCTGCACAAATCCTCTGTGGTTGTGATCCCTGCCCCTGGCTCCTGTAACCCTGAGCCTCCCCTGCCCCACATCCAGCTCACTATGGAGCCACCAACCCTGTCTGCCTCTGCCTCCTGGACCACCAGAGTCTCTCCAAGTAGTCCACAGCTCCCAAAGGTGGGAGAGATTTGGGACCTACTGGCTTTCTTATCTTAAACTGGTTCCCAGAGCAGGACTTCTGAGTGACTTGACTTAGCTAACATGCATTGGAAAAGCCTGAGAAATACCCCTGTAGGTTTCACCTTCCAAACAGTCAGGGGCTCCATGTCATTAATAAACCACAGTCCTCTCACCTGGGATAAGCTCTCCTGACTGGGTTCCTCGTATGCGACCAGAATATCCAATTATCGCTCAGTCCCTGCTCTTTGCCCAGGAGTCTCTTTTCCCTTCTCTCGGCCTCTAGCCTAGATTTGGGCTATTGTAATCCTCATGACATCTCTGTAAGTCCCAGTATGGTTGTCCCTGAATTTCTCTCAATGAGCCCTTTCCCTTTCCAGGTATCATTCCCTGCAACCTGGATCCCTTGAGGGTTGGGTAGATGGGACAACAGAGACATGGAGTCTCACCCAGAGTTGTTCCGATCCACTTAGTATGGAGCCTTCATCCCAGAGATTTCAAGACACTCAGGGCTCATTTGAAGTGTGGTATGATCGGCGAGTAGGTGTTTATGGAAGAGAAGAAGAATTGGGGGTGTATGGGTGGTGTGGTGGTGAAGGTGACTGGATTCCACATGCCTGAGTGAATGATTTGAATCCCAGGCTGAGCAGTTTGAAAAGCATGCTAAGCACATGTGTGTGTGTGCTCAAGATCCCGCGGAGGATAGAGGAGAAGATATTGCAGCGTGAACACCCCCCTGGAGTTGCGCTATCACTTTCCCACCTTCTCCCTCTCTCTCTGTCCGGTGAGTGCATCCCCTGGACAGCAGCTTGCCCTGCACTTTCCTTCAGTCCCTTCCCATGTAATGTCTTCCAAGTCACTTGCATGCATCGTATAGCCATTTAAAAAAGCAAATCAAGGTGTATGATACACCCCCCCCCCGTCTTCAGCTATGCAAGATGGGGGCTTAGAGTTCCAGTGGAGATTGGGGAAAGGGCTGTCTGGGTGAGAAATGCCTTGCCCGGGTGATGCTCTGGAGACTGTGAGCTTCTCCAGCTGGACCACTTTCCCCCTGGGTATCAGATTTCCCCTACCCCACTCTGAGAACCTGGAGGAGGTCACAGACAAAATATGGGATAAGAAATGATGGCATTAGAACAAGATTTGAGATAGGTAATGAGAATATTTATTGAAAGTTTCTAGATTGAGGATGAAGGGCTAGGACCACGAAGGGTTAGAGCAGGGACCACTTCCTTGGGGTCATGCTCTCAAGACACTGTGGATGTGGTAGGGAAAAACCTCTAAGAACTTGA